AGCGCTCCTCGGTGGCGACCAGGCGGAACTGCACACACACACACACACACACACACACACACACACACACACACACACACAGGTTCTGTTCAGAAGAACAAAACTGAAATTTTAAAGAAAAACTAATTTTCTCTTTTCATCAAGCTGCGACCCTCAGACTGATCCCAGGACCCTCAGCGGGTCCCCGAGCCGCTGGTTGAGCAGCCTCTCCATGGTTTTTTTTTGTTCTGTGTCACCTGGCCGGGATCCAGGCAGCAGCCAATCAGCGCGCAGCTCTCTGAACCCGGCTGTCAGGAAGAACCGGACGGTCTCGGTCCTCCGCCTGCGGATCCTCTTGGTTTTTCTGGAATTCGGGATCCCGTCCACGCGGTTCGGTTCCGGTTCATCAGTGCTGAGTTCCAGTGTGGATCCACAGAGAGGCGGGACCGACCTAGAATCCGCAGGGAACACCTGGTCCGGGACCGAAACTCCAGCGAACAAAGTAACCGAAACTGCGGGCAGACACCTGCTGCTGCCTGGACCGGGTCAGGACCGGGCCAGGACCGGGCCGGATCACAGGGGACTATGATGGACTCTGAACGGGACTAAAAGGAACACGTTAGAACGGTTCTGTGGATCCGGAGGCGCCATGTCTGTGAACGAGCTCTACACCAAGGTGAGTCCAGTTTACCTGCCGAACACAGCACGGCTTCACTGGTTCTGACCCAGCAGGCCCGAACTGACCGGCTTTAAACTCTGGACCTAAAGAGTCCCAGTGGACTCCACCTGAGCCGAACCGAGCCGGGCCGAGTCGGACTTCGTGCTGTTTCAGCCCGAGTTTAAGCACCTGTTGGCTGAAGGTTCTGCGGCTGCGCACACTGACCAGGAACAACTTAAAGCTAAACTACCTGAGAACTGGACCTCTGAGGCGGGTTACACCTGAGCCGGATTTAAGACGAGGGTCACAGGTGTTCTGGTCCATTCACAGTAAAGCCGGTACCCACCTGAGACCCGAACAGGGTCCGGTTCAGTCTAAAACCGGTTCTATTTGAGGRGAGTTCTGAGCTGACAGGTGGTGGAGCCCCAGAGTCAGGGTGAACTCTGACCATCAGCAGGATTCTGATGGTTCTGCTGGTTCTCAGGGAGCAGAACCTCTGATCTGGGACTGGTTACTGATCATCTTCCTCCCAGAGAGAGGAGGAGGAYTAGTTTCTTCATCAACTGATTTTAATCCAGAGTTCAGATTTGAAGCAGAAGTCCAACAGGTCAGATGTCTGAGGACAGAGACCTGAACCAGGACCAGGTCCAGGAGTCACAGGGTTCAGTCTTTGGATGTTTAGAGTCCAATCGACTGCAGGACCTTCTGAGATCCTCCTGCTGGACTCTGGAGTCCACATTGTTAAAGCAGGACCACTTAATCCCCCCTCTCTCTGTGGAACCACTTAATCCTGGTCTGAGGGGGTCTGCAGTCCTGCAGCTCCATCTGTTTGTGTTCAGAAACCCTGTTGGGGGTCAGGAAGGCTGCATGGACTGTGGGTGGGGGTAACASCAGTCCCTCACAGTCCCTGACAGACCCTCAGAGTCTGGGGGGGGTAATCTGTCAGATTATGTCTCTGGATGATTTCATTCTTTGTTTCTGTTTCAGCTGTTTGAGACATCTGTCCTCCACATGGAGGACGTGTCCTCGTGTCCCCCACTGTCCCCAAGTGTCCCCAAGTGTCCCCAAGTGTCCCCAAGTGTCCCC